AGGGTTACCAACTCTGTGACATCGCACTATATGCCCTGTGGGAACAAGGCGGTTCAACAGAATGAACCCTTTCACCGAGTAAAATTGCTGCTATGGATCGAAAACCAGCCAATCTCAGCTAATTGACAGTTTCAGTGGTTTGCTGTCGGTACTGATGCAAGTTATTCCGATCGTCATTTATACGCAAGATCTGGAGAAGACTGTGTTGTTCTTCACTTGTTGCTATTTTTTTACAAAATCAGCTAGGCATTTCCTCGGAAAATCGCAAACGGATCGTGCTTAAATGGTGCACTAATCCCAACCTATCAGTAACGAAGTTTGCGAAAATGGAGGAAGTAAGTATTGGAGCAATCCAAACTGCTATTCGGAAGTTTGGTGAAGAAGGACACATCTAAATCTGGCCGTAAACCTGGACCGGTGGACCGAAAACTGGATTAGAAGATCACCCAAGCTTTCGTCAATAAAAAAATGTCTCTGTTCGAGATTTGACCAAAAAACTGAGAACATCGACGAGTAACGTCAAACGCGCCAAGGCAAGAAACAGACTGAAAACGTTCAAGAAGCAGAACAAGCAGCATCCATCAAACCATGGGCTCGGAAGCTATATGATAGCCTGCTGTGTGGAAAATTGGTGTGTGTTATCATGGACGATGAAACATACGTAAAATTTGACTACAAGACGCTTCGCGGAGACCAATATGCTGCCGTGACGATGCCAATGAGTCAATTTTTACCGAAAAATTCAGTAAGAAGGCCATGGTTTGCCAAGCGATATGTGAGTGTTGCATGTTATCAAAGCCATTTGTGACGAAGCAGACGATGAACACTGACATTTACGATCGGGAGTGTTTGAATCGGCAGTCCATGATCCGTCAACATGATGGCAAACTACTATTTTGGTTCGATTTGGTGTCAATGGACTACTCGAAAACACGGTAGCTGGTACAAAGCAAACAATGTGCATTACGTGCCAAAAGAGATGAATCCTCCGAAGATCAAAAGTTCGCTCCTTGGCATACGATTAAAGGAACTGCGGATTATCTATTTGAAAGAGAATACTATCGAGAACATATATATGCAATACAAATCTGAGTTCATTAATATAACGCTGTTTTATTCCAATAATAAACTGTGCTTATACTTTCTGAAACACCATATAGATCTAGTGCTTAGTTCTAAACCTTTCAATAGTTCAGATTACATACGCTGATATTCTCCTACGATGGCAGTTAGACCAAGAAGTATCTCTAGCAGATAGATGATTTTAATTAATTGCTTTGGATATTTTTAAAGGTTTCAGACTGATCAGTTCTTCCTGTAAAAACCTTCAACTGTTAAAAGGTTAAAATATCGTCACTTATGTATTCTTTCAGAATGGTACGGTAATTAAAAAATATTCAATAAAGCTAATTAAAGATTGCAATAAAGTCCTGCAGATATTTAGGTCTACAAAGTATTGTTTCAAAACAATAATAATCAACTTGTTCAACAACAGCGTCGTGATTACCTCTCACCCCAGCAGGCCTGGGTTCAATCCCAGTCGGTGCCGCCGGGATGTTCTGAGGCATAACATGTCTGATCACGCCTTCCTTCGGAAGAGAAGTAAAGCCGTTGGTCCCCGGTTCATGAGTTGATGGGTCGATAGGTAGGGTCCAGGTGTGGGAGCTGCCTCCCTGGCGTCGGTAGCATTGGTGCTCAGCAAGGAAAACAAGATCGACGGAAAAAAATCAAGGAAAAAAACATGTTCAAGACAGAGTTTGAAATATGAAGTCATGATCTATAGTAAAAATCTTCACACGTCTGCTTAATAGTACGTTCAGACTACAGAGTTATAACATGTTATAGCGCTATCTTGATGGTGGTTTCTGTGTTGCAATTATTTGACAACCGTTATAACATGTTATAACTCTCCAGTCTGTACAGCGTTTAAAATTCAAAAAGCCTTCGGATGTCTTCTTCAATATCTTTGTACACTCAAGTCTTTTTTAACATGGATTTTCGAAGATTTTCTTAATGAAACGTTTTTTGGATTTAACGACGAATTTTGAAATAACGCGATAAAGAGCCATAACATTTAAAATCGCAGCTAAGTGAAATGCAAAAAGAGATTGCTCCGGTATTTACTTCCTACATTCTCTTGGAAGTTGGGAAGCCATAGGTCTGAGGGGCAGCCCTACCCTTATATACACCAATGAAGAAATCATATGATTATCTCTGAACGGTGATGTTTGACCGTTGATTCCGTGTGGTGGTGGAGTCTTAAAGACATTTTTGCCTTACAATGCAGGAACCTTACCTGCTAGTCAACAGCAAGTACAGTTTTCCCGAGTAAAGTAAAGCCCTAAAATAGCTAATTTAAAATAAAATCGATTTAATCCAGAAAAGAAACGCTCCGCTGGACCACTTTGATTTGACACCTGAAAATGGAAATCACTTCCCAATGGGAGACAAATTCGTTTATCTTTTGCTGAGGATGTAACATTTCCAACAACTTACTTGGAAAGGCAATAAGCTACCGTACACGGCCACTGTGAATAACTCAAAGAGAAGTAGAAGAAGAGAGTCACTTCTACTCAGAGCTATGGCAAAATTTCTAAATACTGCAGGAACTCACCTGCAGTTTTAAGAAATGTCCCATACAACTTAGTAGAAGTTACACACTTTCTGAGTTATTCTCAGTGGCCGTGTAAGTATCATGCCATACGATAGATCTCCGTAGCGAAAAATGTACCAACTCAGCATCCATTCACAAACACACCGACTGACCGCAAAAAAACATGTTATCCTACTTCGGCATCGATGAAAATGAAAACAATCGAGAGATGCGTAGAGTACCCCTATTTTTTGACAAAAATAAATAAATATATCACAAAGACGATCCCGAAAAACAGAACGATACAACAGAGGTTTGTTTATTTACATAACCCTTTTGAGGAAACAACCTTAAAATGACATAGAGTGGGTGTTGGGAAAATCTGCTCGTTCGGACCGAGCTTCCTATTGAACAGTGCATGCAGGGTAGAGCACTACTTCGGCATAAGCACCCATTCCCGTCATATAGAGCAGTTACTTCAAATGTATCAATGATTTCGACTGGAATGACTTTTGGTACGATAGATTAGTTCAAGAGCTACAAAACAAAAACTGCGCTCCAAGCGGATCAACATTTTCTGCCTTCATCCGTATGCCAATGTATTTGGATGGAATTGAAACTCGAATGACGGAATTCCGATCAAGAAGTAGTGTTAGATTTTTAACCATATCTCAACAATTTGTGACTCTTTATCAAATCTAATGATTGATAATCTAATGAATGAAGATTGATTAATTTAGAAGTCATCTTTGATAGAAACATTCCATTTATTGTTCAAACCCGTTCGAACAAGTGAGGTTAAGTGCGAATTGTGCGTAGCATGACGAAAATTAGATCTTAACCCTATCTCGTTCGGGTATGTGACATCATAGCAAAGTAAGTGGAGCTTAAAACGAACTGCATGAAAGCGACAACGAGGATGACGATGGTGATGTCTTTAGAGATGGGAACTGCCACACTCTAGCAGGGGGTAGTAAGAAATATCGAGACTCTGTCATCAACTTGGATGGCAGCCGGTATTTTGCGGAAGGGTAACTTTATTTGAACGAAGTGTCGCAGTCGAGTCATGCGACCTGAATGATTGATACACAAAGTGGATCTGGACTCTGTTTGTTGAACCGAAGTCCATTTGTCTGTTTACCAGTCAGTTTAACGAGTTGAAAGGGAATGATCAAGGGTGTTAACGAAGTAGTGAAGCATTGGCATCTATCGGTCTTGATAATATAAATTCAAAATCAACATTTTTTGGAAAAGCAATAAACGCTACTGGTGATCCATCAAATTTTCCACCAACCTTCAAAATGTCAGCCTGTTTCCTTAAATTCAAAATTCGTCTCCCTAACTGTATCCATCGATATCGCAGTCAAACGACATAGAATGATGCATGATTCAATTAAACCTTCTTCACGCATCAACCGGCAAGCTTCAATGACAACTATCGAAAAAAATAGAGTGTATAAATGAAATTCCTCCAATCGAATCGTGCGTCCAACGGCGCCGGTGGTGTAGTGGTAAGCGTGATTACCTCTCACCCCAGCAGGCCTGGGTTCAATCCCAGTCGGCGCCGCCGGGATGTTCTGGGGCATACCATCTCTGATCACGGCTTCCTTCGGATGGGAAGTAAAGCCGTTGGTCCCCGGTTCATGAGTTGATGGGTCGATAGGTAGGGCCCAGGTGTGGGAGCTGCCTTCCTGGTACGTCGGTAGCATTGGTGCACAGCACGGAAAACAAGATCGACGGAAAAAACAAACCAGAGAATCGTGCGTCCAGCATGGAACGCCAAATCCTGTGATGCGGCACGTCCCGGTGTTTTGCGTCCAAACGTTTCAGGCTAGTCCGTCAAAACAGTGACAGTTTTATGGCGTCGATTAATCGTCTCCCGGTAGAGATGGGCCTTGCCAGTGGCAAAAAGTGTCCTTTCGAGGGTTGCAAACTGTGACGTTGACGCAACTGCATCCAGTTGGAAATTTTTCAATCTAGCGGCCCACTCGTCTCATCTTAGGAACGTACAAACAAAGAGGTCGTTCGATTATGGTGAAGGATGGAGTCCATCGCCGAACAAAGGCATCTGATGAATTGTGACTGTCTCTATCTCCATTTGATGGGCAACGAGACGATGATGGTGATTGAAAAATGCATCCTAGCCGGGAAATCCATTCCGGTTCGATAATTGCTCCATTCTTCAACGGAAGGCGCAGTCCTGTCGCGGTGACAGCGGCACGCTTCCGAGATAGTTACAGTGAATTATTGCACGAGATGCACCGGCTACCACCCTCCCAAAAACCGATCGAAGCATGTCTGTGTGGTATGAATTTTCAATAAGGATGAACGGGGGATGATGGCATTCTTTTAATTTGTCCCATCGATAATTGGAACCCGTGGAGTAGTTGTACAGCTGGATACTTACAAAGAGAAATATCGATGCACCGGGTCCTCGTCGGTCGGCGGCCGCCTTCAGCTTCCCGGCAGCTTCGTGGGACATCAGCGAGTAGACGGCAGTGGCCTCGATGCGGGTTAGATTGTTGAGGCACGCGGAACACAATAGCAACGTCTGACAGCAGGTTGTTTTATCGACAATCTCTGTGGAAGAAAGACAGACAGGCAGGACTTGTTTCATTACTAAGGACATTAAAAGGGATCAGCAAACTTCAAGTGGCAAAAGCAATTAGAATAACCGCAGTGAAAACTGCAGCGATAAAGATTCGCGCCAGTAGTAATTACAGTTAAGTTGGGTGATGCATTTTAAGTGGACGATAATGATGACGGTGATGATGACGATTATGGTGACAAAAAAAGTGACAAAGAGCCAGAACTGCAGCAAACAAACACGCGGCGATAGTCAAAGTGGCACTTGGACATCGGGAAAAGAGTCGTCTTCAATTATAATGTGTCTTTGAAAGAATAGCGTGGCGTCTGGTTTTACAGCTGCAGCTCCTGATGGTGATGACGACGACGGGGGGGTTGAATTCCAGCCCGAAGGATGACTGATTCAGAGAAATTTCTTCGGAAAATGTCTTCGGATGAAGTTTTCCAGATAATGGGTTTCGCTGTTGGAGCGAGGAACAATGTCGTTTGATTGTGGATGATTAAAAGTGACAATGAAATGGATGCTTGATGAGAAACAATTCACAGAAAGAGTAATTGCTTTGGACTGGAGTCATTAAGCGGAGAAGCAAATTTCAGCCGGCCATGATCCTGCGAGGTTAGTGAGCAGATAAGATGCAGTAGGAATCTATATTTGCGCCAACAAATGATGATGAACAAGACACTAACATGCCTTTCTGCAATATAAGGCTGATATGCGACTAATATACAGCTTGGATGCCCTATATTAATCTTACATTGCAAATAGGGTAAATAGACGGCATTTAGAAAAGTGACGTGGCCTGATAAGAGGTAGAGATGGGCGATTCGCTCCCGAGCTGCTCTATAGACCCGATTCTTTAAAATGAGCTGATGACCCGTGGTTCATTTTTTAGGAACCGCAGCTCATCAGCTCACCACACACCACAAGTCTAAACCATACATTCCATCACTCATAGCGGAACTTTAAAAAAGGACACATTACTCCACTTACGCATTGAACAGTTACCGCGTAAACCAAGACGCGCGCGTAATACAACATGTGGCTACTGATCGACAGCACCAACGGTAAAAGCAAACTTCCAAGCGGCTGTTTGGGAGGGAGAGAAATATGTACATGTGCTACACGATCTTAATTTTCTACTGGTATCGAATTTATTCATGTACCCGGCTCTTATTGCTGATGTTATTCCTCGAGCATATGTGCTCTCATCTCTCCTCCCATCATTCTCTGGGGGAGCGGAAGATCCGCACAAAAGCAAATTACCGAAAAGCGAAATGCACAGCTTATCAGCTCAGCTCCGGTTCCGAATCATCGACTCGAATGATTCACTGGGAGCTGTTTAGGATGACAACTCTCGGACCCGTCCAGCTCTTCGGATTTTTTTTTCTCTCTAAATTCTTCACGATTCAGATCCGGATTCGTATCTGAGCTGATGATCTGGAGCTGATGCCGAGAATAGTGAGAGAAATTCTGCTGAAGAATTAACATCAGAAATAAAATTTGAATTTAGACTGGATTTCATAGCTTGAGAAAAGGCGTAATATCGTGTGCCACGTTGTCAATCATATCATCGCGTGTGACATAGGTGTAGCTCTCTCGCATGCATTTTTTTGTTTTACTGCTATGTTGTTGGCACATTTATCGCACATTTTGGTTTACGCAATTTTGATCACTTGTTGCGTTTCTTAGAGATGAACTAGCCTAAGGCTAAAAATTTCTTTAATAAAGAATTAAAAAAAAAAACTTGTTGCGTTAGTAGCGTTTTCCATTGAAAAGTAAAGCCATGTTGTAAGGTAGGGATATATTGGTTTAGACTACTTTTACGATTTTATGCAATTTTAAGCACTAAACCCACAAATTAATTTTCCGATTTTGAATTTGTGTCATAATTTCTATAATTTCAATGTGAGCTGATGAGCTGTTCAAAAGAATCGACTCCGTTTAGTGAGCTGGATGGGTTTTATCCACTCAGCCAGATGAGCTGTTTTGCCCACCTCTAATAAGAGGAGATGGTGCACAGTGAGACGGAATAAAAAAAAGTTGGACCTGGCCATTTTTGTAGAATTTTGATGTCGTCCAGCATGTTTCTTCATTTTTTGAGTGGTGAAAATTTTCGCTTGAGAGGGAGGGGGGAGGTATACAGTCAGATAAATATTCCTGAAATTCATGGAACTTCCCTTAAATTATCGGATCTAATTCTTCAATATCTTAGAACTTCCCCAAAAGTCTAGACTATCCTTGATGTATTACGTGTTTTCCTGATGTTATTCGAACTGCCCCAAAGATCTCTGAACTTCTTAAAAGTTTTCTAGACTTCCAGAAATTTTGAAGTATTTCATAAAACTTCCCACAATTTTTCTGAAATTAAATAAACTGTCATGAAATTCCCTTAATTTTCTTAAAGTTTTTTAAACTTTATTGAATCTCTAGAAACTTTCCTCAAATCTTCCCCCAATTTGTAACGGCTTTTCGATCGAACGAAGTCAGTTTTTGAAGTTTTTACTGTTCACTGAATAATTCACGTGTATTTTCGTAACCATTAGACCCCAAACTAAACTGATTTCCTTGTATCGGCGAGACGACGAATCATGGCACATAAAGAATAAGAGAAAAATAAATCTTGCTTCATCGATGATCAAATACGTTCACACAAACGATTTACTACTGACGGAATCATCGAAAGAATCTTTGTATTCGTGTGTACCATTCCGCATGGATTGCACAATGGTCCCAAAGCCGTATTTAGGAAGACAAAAATGTTTGCGCTAAAACCGTTGATTTTAGGCATATGGTGTCTGGCGGAAAGTTTCTTCATATTTTTGGCCAATTTTTTTAAGTTGGTGAAATTAGGGTGGTCCATAAAATTGGTGAATTGAAAATGTGATTTTTTTATTATGTGAGATAGACCAGTGCAATGTTCTATAAAGTTGCAGAACAATCAATTTGCGGCACCTTTGCTCAAGCCACCAAACTTCCATCTCTTATTATTCATGAGTTATGAATATCTTTTCATACGTTCATTTCTCGGAAAACAAATGTTCTAGACACTTTTAGAACTTTCAATGGCAAAAATTTTTACTGAAGCAACCAAGTTGGTATCTTTTTTATTGGAAAGTTAAAGGCGATTTTCTTCAAAAAACTGGCATTTTTCAATTGTCAATATCTCTAAAAAGAGCAAACCGACTTTAAAGTTTTCAATTCCATTTGAAAGATCATTATTTTGATCGATTTCGGTGGGAAAACTGCGAAAGCGATTTTTGATGGAAACATTTAATTTAATTTTAAAAATTCACACATTGTTTTCTCGCAAAAACTTTGTTCTAAACACTTTTAGAACTTTTGATGACGCACAGTTTTGCCAAAGCAATTAGGATGCTATTTCCTTTGTATGGAGAGTTATGGCAGTTTTTTGCATAAAAATATGAATTCTTTTTAAATTAAATTTAATGTTTTAAACAAAAATCGCTGTCGCAGTTTTTCCACCGTAAATGAACAAAATAATGATCTTTCAAATGGAATTAAAAACTCGAAAATCAGTTTGCTCCTTTTAGAGATATTGGCAATAGAAAAATGCCAGTTTTTTTGAAAACAATCGCCTTTAACTTTCCAACAAAAAAAAGATAGCAACTTGTTTGCTTCAGCAAAAATATTTGCCATTGAAAGTTCTAAAAGTGTCTTGAACATTTGTTTTCCGAGAAATGAACGTATGAAAAGATATTCATAGAAAACCAATTTTCAGGGGCCACCCTAACTTTCTTGTTTAAAAAAATCATAACTCATGAACCATAAGAGATGGAAGTTTGGTGGCTTCAGCAAAGGTGCCGCAAATTGATTGTTCTGCAACTTTATAGAACATTGCACTGATCTATCTCACATAATAAAAAAGTTCACATATTCAATTCACCAATTTTATGGACCACCCTAATCTCACTAACATAAAAAAATTGGCCAAAAAATATGAAGAAACTTTCCGCAAATCAACGATTTTAGCGCAAACATTTTTGTCTTCATATTCTAGTTTCTGTTCATGATACATCTGCGTATCGCAGTATAACACAGGCGAATGGTTCATATTCAGCAACATGTAATGACACTAAATATGGATGGTCAAAAGCTGTTGCATAAAGTGAACATTAACTTTTCACATCGCATTACGTGGGCTATTGGGGGAGATTTGTATTGTCAGGTTATTACATTTTGCGTATACATTCTTAAGGGTTGGTCATATATTATGTCGCGCTTTGGGGGTGGGGGGAGGAGGGGGTCTAAGATTTTTTGACAAGCAAAGCATTAGGTATAGAAAAAACGTCACGATAGGGGGGGGGGGGTAAATTTCTCCTCGATTTAGCGTGACATAATTAATGCATGGGCCCTAAGAAGTTTAACCATTAAAATACTATATTCCTGAAAACTTTGTTCTTGACTGTATTTTCTTAATCGGAATGTTAAGGCGTCGTCCACTGTTGTGGTGGTGTGGCATGTGCTAGCATGTCAAAACATCATGACAACATTCGTCTCACGCCACAAAACATGCACATCAGTGGGCACCTCGATTAATGTCAGACACTCACTGTCCCGCTACTGTGCCGGCGATGTGGCATGTCAAAACATCATGCTGAAACATTGCATGTGGCGAACGTCAACATGATGGGTAAAAAAGCTTGTCGAGGTTCGCCTTACGCTACATTACATCCACATGATTTTTTGACATGTTGTATGATGCCACACCGTCGCCACAACAGTGGGCGTGTCCGCAGTACGTTGTTCTAGAGTTATTCCGATTACACGAGTGAATCGCGTAAATGGAATACACGTAGCATGTGGGATTTGATTTAATTGGTTCCAAAATGGAATACCCCGTGATCCCGGCGATATAGAAAGTTACTGTCTTAGGTAAACATTTTCATATGACTAAGGTCTTTTGGATGGTGCACATTTAAGTCCAGAGTTCATTCACTAGGCGGCGTAAGTGCATATATGACATTTACTATGT